TTTTTCCAGAATGAACAACGTGGTGCCAACCATGGACTTCAATGACACGTTTTTGTCGTTTGAACACCTGAAGGAATCATTCCCTGATTATCAGATTGTAGCGAAAGCTGAGGAAGAAAAGATGATACCGCCGTTTCAGTATGTCATTTCGTTGACATCATAATCTGACGCTGAAAGTGCACGTTAAGGTTGACCTTCAAAGACCTTATCCGTGGAGGAGAAGCAGAGGATGAAAAAGTGATTGAAGTGACACCTTTGGTGCGAGAATCGCGAACACCTTATCCTATATTTCCCAATAAAAACAAAGTGAAATTCACTCCTGCACAGATAGAGGCGATAAAAGTGAGCACTGCGGTGGCTGCATTCATAGATTGTTGTCGAATCCTACTTTTTAGGCTGGTATGCAGCCAGGTTTGACAATGGTTGTGGGTCCTCCTGGTACGGGTAAGACTGACGTAGCAGTTCAAATTATTGCCAACATCTACCATAATTGGCCGCAACAACGCACGCTGATCGTTACACATTCCAATCAAGCATTGAATCAGCTTTTCGAGAAGATCATCGATTTGGATGTTGACGAGAGGCATCTGCTGCGTATGGGTGAGCTTTTGATAGGCTACAGCTTTCCTGTCATTGTCGCACAAAGTTATAAAATGTAAAATTGTTTGCAGGTCATGGAGAAGAGGGCCTTGAGACGGAAAAGGACTTTTCTCGTTATGGTCGTGTGAATCATGTACTCAAAGAACGGCTAAGGTTGTTGTCTGAGGTAACAATCTTTATAAAATTCATATCTTGCTTCCGAATAAAGATTATGGAATATACGAAGAATATGTTAATTTTTAGGTAGAAAGACTGCAAAAAGCTATGAATGTTTATGGTGATGTGTCGTATACTTGCGAAAATGCTGGCCATTTCTTCCGCTTTACGGTAAAATTTTTACTTTTTGTTTCCTTCGTTCTTGAATGGCAAAGGGCATTTCTACAGGTTTGCCGCGCTTGGGATGATTTCATCGAACAGTGTAGCATAGAAAAGGACGGAATCGTAGCCGAGACGTTCCCGTTCACTGGATACTTTTCTGATATTGATCCACTTTTTAGTGTGAGTTGTACGATCTCTTAGCGTTTTCTAGAGGAAAAATCTCGATATGTCTGCCTTTACAGGGTTCCTATGCCGCTGATATGGAAACAGCGCGCTGTTGTTGGCGGCACATAAATCACATCTTCGAGCAGCTTGAAGAGTTCCGTGCTTTTGAGCTGTTGAGAAACGGACGAGACCGAACTGAATATCTATTGGTTGGTATTTCACATCTGTTTATGTTTTCTGTTAGTGGCACTCCTTCGTATTATAGGTGAAAGAGGCAAAAATCATTGCTATGACATGTACACATGCGGCTTTGCGAAGAAATGAACTGGTACAATTAGGTTTCCGTTATGACAACATTCTTATGGAAGAAGCCGCGCAGATATTGGAAGTAGAGACCTTTATTCCACTTCTGCTACAGGTGAGTTAGATGTCTTTATGGAGAGCAATGTCGAATATATTGGGCGACTTTAGAATCCACAAGATGGGAGAAATCGCCTGAAGAGATGGTGCATGATTGGAGATCACCATCAGTTGCCTCCTGTTGTTCAAAATCAAGCTTTCCAAAAATATTCCAATATGGAGCAGTCGCTGTTTGCTAGATTTGTGCGGTTGGGTGTGCCGAATATCCAGCTAGATAGGCAGGGAAGAGCTCGCTCAGAGTAAGTTCGATGAATTCACCTGAAGTTTATTTTCTGCCGAACTTTTTTCCTTTTTTTATCTCACTTCGATAAAAACTATCGTGCACATCGCATCACGCTGTTAGTAACTGATTCGCTGTAAGATCCAAGCTGACGTATCTCATTCCAGAATCGCAGCATTGTACAGCTGGCGGTATAAGGAACTTGGTAATCTCCCTCACGTTGAAGCTTTACCACAGTTTCAGGTTAGTGTCTCCTTGGTGTTCTTGCATTTCTTATGTTTTTTTTTGTTTTCTCTTCTTGCTGGATCC